AAAGACATAGCATATGGCGGTGTATGGTTCCATGTTTCAGCAGAAGATTCATTCTACTAATATTATATACATTTGGTGAGTGGTGGAGGGAGGCCCTGAGAATCACGTGGGGACACGAACAGGGTCAAGCTGAATTGGTGACCCATAACTGCCGAGCTACAGCCCTGAACTCGAATCCACAGCATATATTGGTGGTCTGCCCACATCTCTCCGACACGTGACGAGGCCATCCTTCTCAATTCAGCTGGCCCTTAATGGCTCCACACGTATTGTAGGAGCCATTCGAGGTACCTGCAGGGGGCCTCGAATTGCCGAGAAGGGGACCCTTTGTTGTCTCTCTCTTATCTCTTTCTTTTTTTCTCTCTCTCTCTCTCTCTCTCTATCTATCTTTTTCTTTTTTCTTTTTTTCTTTTTTTTTTTTTATTGCACACAGGGCGCAACTCTCTCAGCGCGTGCACCGTGCACAGCGGACAGCACTGCGTACTGCGCGCGCTGTTGTTCCAGTGCACAGCGCAGTGCGCTCCGCCCCGCCCCGCACTGGGCACTGGTGCACCGCAACTATGGTTTTTTGTGTTTTCTCTGTTTTCTGTGTTTTTTGTGTTTTTTACTAGGCTACCAGCCGGGCCGCCCGGGTTACCCTATTTTCCCTGACGGGCCGGCCGTGCAAGGACCAGGGAAGGTCCTACCAAAAAACAAAAAAAACAAAAAACTCCCCAAAAAAACTATGTTATGCAGAAAAATAAAGTGAACAACTTTTGCCTCAGGGTCACATCGAAATTCTTTACCAAATTTAAAATAAAAAATAAAGTTATTTTTATTTTTTTACTGTTTTTAATTTCTTTTGACCCGGCCGTGCAAGTGGCCCCAGGCCACTCTGGTAGCCTAGATTTTTTATGTTTTTTTTGTTTTTTATTTTTTCCGTCTGAGTTAGTTTTAGTGCCCTGCCAACGAGGCAGGGCGCTTTCCATGGACAGCTGACACTTGGTTTCCATGGACAGCTGACACTCGGAACCAACGGGGCACTCTCACATGTACTCAAGATTCTGTATCCGGCTGCTTTTACGTCCAGAGAGTTGCTGCCATTTTTGCTTTTGTTTTTCCATACAGCCGTGTTTGCTGAGGGCTGTAACGCCTGTTGGGAGGGCACATTCTTTTTTCTTTTTTTTTTTTAGTTTTTTTTTTTTCTTTTTTTTTTCTCACTTGTGGCCAATGTTTTGTATCCAGCTGCTTTCACGTCCAAAGAGTTGTTGCTTTTTTTCCTTGTTTTCTTTTTTCTTCCTATTGCCGTGTTTTGCTGAGGGCAGTAACGCGGTATGGCAGACTCTCACGTGCACCCAATGTTCTGTTTACAGCTGCTTCCACGTCCGTAATGTCTTTACTTTTTTCCTTTTCTTTTCTTTTTTTTTTTTTTTTTTTTTTTTTTGACGGATACCAGAAAAGAGAACACAACGGGACCCAGGCTCGGCAAAATTTGGTGCACAGTGAAATTCAGGGTCGGCAAAAACAGGCTCGGAGGTAGTGGTGGTTTAAACCACCAGTTCACATGTAGCTAAATTGACGAACCAAAAGTTGCACGTTTTCGAGCCTGACTGCTACAGTAACAGGCTGAAAAGAAAAATATCAGGGTTGAATTTCCGTTGAAACGGTTTTCATCCCAGGGCTTGATCCCTAGACCTTATCCTCACCCGTGTACAATACCAAGTCGACCCCCGTGTGTTTGAACCCTGACCTGTGTCTTGGCAGTTGGCTGTTGTCTGTTGTAGGGCTTTGTAGTTGTCGGGTTTTGAACCGAAGGTCTGGTCATAGCTGTGTAGAAGTCGTCGCTGCTACAGTCCTGAAAAGTCAAGGTCGTAGCTGCTACAGTCCCGAAAGGCCAAGTCTACGGAAGGTCTGGAAGTGGCCTTTCGAGAGTCGCCAGAGTCAGGCCAGAGGCAAGTGGGCAAGTGGGCAGTCCAACCTCCTCTACTCAGCGGTAGACAGTCCCAGTCGCACTTTGTTCAGTCAGCGAGTACCATGTGGGACTGTGTGCATCCTAGGCCCGGTGGAAAGGAGCAGACCAGAAACCAACTGAAGTATAAATCAAGAGGCAGTGTCCAGTTATTCATTCATTCAGACTGTGAGCCGTGTGGAAGCACTGCCTGAGCGACTTGTGCAAGGAGGTCTGCGAGTGCCCCAGGAAGAAGTGGGTTGAAAGGGAGACGAAATGGCCATAGCCGCTAGTTAGTGGTAGAGGTAGCAAGCAGCCATAGCTGTGCTAGGTTAGAGCTAGGCTATAGCATGTTTGTGTATGAGAGTGCAGTAAGTTGTGTGTGTGTGTGGGACATCCAGGGAGATCCAGAGTAGCGTGCTTGTGAACAGTTGCTGAGGATACAGCGTGGAAGGGTGTTGTGAGGGTGCACAGGCGCCATAGCCATTCCAATCGAGTTGAATCTGAACTGTGTTCTTGGCCACGATATCTCTGAGCTTTGTGTGGGCGCTCGTCGCCAGTGTGATTGCCATCTGTTTCCATGCATGCTGAGTAAGAAAGAAGACGAGCCTGATTCCAGGGGTGCCGGCACCAGCCTACCTTGAAACTCAAGTGCCGCATGTCGTGCCAGCAGATGGCGCCGAAAAGGCAAGGAAAGAAAATAAAAAAAGCTAAATTCGTTCAATGATTAACAAAGGCTGTTGCCCTTCCATGAAGAAACAGAAAAGAGATATGGGGGAAGCCATCTGACCTAGGGCATACTCACAATGGTACTGTCCAGAATGTATCTGACCACTCTAATGGCCAAATCGTTGTCTTTTTTTTTTCCCCTTCTTTCTTGTACTGCCCTCCAAGAGGCAGAGCGTTTCCGGCTTCTCAGGAAAGGCCCTCACTGAGTGCATACTCACACTAGTACTGTTCAGACTGTATCTGACCGCTATCATGGCCATGTCTTTCATCTTTTTTTCTTTTTTTCCCTCTATTTACATTCTTGGGAATGTCCTCACTCAGGGCATACGCACACTACTACTTTCCAGAATGGATCGGATGAATACGTCCAAATCTGTCTTTGTTTTCCCTTCGTTTTTTTGGTTTTGTTTTGTTTCTATGTAGCAACTCACATCCTGTCTGCCCAGACTGCCCGGTTTTTCCTCATTTGTTTTTTTTTTTTCCCCGATTCGTTTTCAGTGCATTCGTTTTGGCTGCACCAGCCGTTTCCCTCTGAACCTGTGCCATGCTGGATCACTGTTCATCTTGCCACGGTCGCAGTGTACTGCATTTTGGTGAATAGTAGGGGTCTGTGAACTGGTGGTGAAGATCTTAGGGAAAAGGTATGTTTTTGTTCTAGGGATGTCTACTGGGCCAACGGACCAGCTGTGGATGAAGTGGTGCCTTCCTAGGCACTGACAGTTCGCTAAAGATGAGCTTATCAGACAAGAACGAAGATAAAGACTGAATTTGGCACAGCTCTCTGACTATATTCTGATTCCATGGCTAAAAAGGAACCTCGAACTTGGATTCTCTCTTCCTGTCATTTATTTAAGACTAGGACAAGGCAAAAAGGAGGGGCAAAAAAGCCAAAAGCAAGAAACAATCTTGGACTAGCAAAGAACTCCCCGAAGGCTTTGTACTTATAATGGCCCTTACAACCTCGGACAGCAAAAAATGGAAGGAAAGACTAGAAGGAAGCCAACACATCCGAGGTAAAAGAGAACCTCAGTCACAAGAGTGTGGGAGCAGGGCCATATATGGAAAAAAATAAGCGGGAAGCCAGATAAGGACTGGAATCATTTGGGCTCCTCTCTCCTACATCGACAACTCCTGCAAATGTCAATCAGCATAATGGTGGCATCGTGGCTCGGCCTCCAAATGACGCTTCACTTTCTCCCTCCCTTTACAGCTGGGTGTACGACCTTTAGTCCAACCATCAGATTACCCGTCTCTGTAGGTCAAAGTGTCAGATTGTGAATGTGAAAACACGGGTTCAACTCCCGTTATTTGCCTCTTGCATCTGAACTCTGGTGAGCCTAAATCCAGCCAAAGCTGGCGTCAAGACAGTTATTCATTGACTGAAGTCAATGAATCTAAGTTAATTGATTCAAACAACCACATAAAGAGTGGGTTGGGTACACCATATTTTGACCTTTAGGCCTACCGTCAGAACCTTCAACCCAACAAAAAGTATGGACCTAGGACCTGAGCAGCAGTCTCCATTTTGGTAGAAACATAGTGGCTCTTCAACTCACACGTAATCCACCTCGAACGCCCAATCTATCCCATCTGCATTTTGCATTGATGCGTCTGATGCATACTTGCGGCGCATCAGTGCGGTGCGCGATGCGGTGCACGGTGCGCACCTGTGCCGTGCGCGCACTCGTGCGCGATGCGCGAGCACTGATGCGCAGTGCGCAGTGCGCAGTTCGCTGCGCGGCACTCAGGTGCGCAGTGCGCCGGTGCGCTGGGGCGTGCGCGTGATGAACGCACTTTCGCGCATGGTGCGCCGTGGTATACATGGATTTTTTGTTTTTTTTCTACGTGATACACCGAGTTGATGAGTTAATAATACGTAATATAAGTTATATTGTTTATATAACATTATAGTATGGTTATACTATGATTACAGTATTATGGGGAACCCCGGAGAGAGAGAGAGAGAGAGAGAGAGAGAGAGAGAGAGAGAGAGAGAGAGAGAGAGAAGAAACCGTGTGCTGACACTATCGGACCGAAGAAACCGCCCTTATCAACGGGCAACATGAATCCAGAAGCGGGGCGACATGCACGAAGGACAAATAATATGGTGGTGTATCTTTCCATGTTCTGGCAGAAGATTCATTCATTCGCTGGGTGGTGGAGAGCGAAGGGCCGATGAATCAAGTAAGCATGTGACGTATCTCCGGAAGCTTTCTTTTTTTTTTTTTGGGAGAATCTCTGAACAAATGAAACTAAATCCTCCGCTTGAACATGGAAAGATACATTTCCATATATGTCTTCTTGTGCATGTCGAGAGTAGTGCAGCGAGCCGGTTGGTAAACATTACCGTTGAGGTTCTGACAGGTTGGACGCGCCGGGCTTCACTCGTGCAAAGTAATTGGGCATCGCCACACCACTCTCGAAATTTGCAAAATGGGGATGAACTTCCCGCTAGAACACGACCAGATGCCCCCGCCACATTTTTGTCTTTTTGACATTTCGAGAGTGGTGTAGCGAGGCCCATTCTGATGTTCTTCCTTTACGTTTTTTTCTTTTTATTAAAAAAAAAAAAATCTAGGAAAAACGGTTGCCAGTTCCGTCGTTTTCTACTTCAGAAGTAATACGAAGAGAACGTTTTGAGAAATGGAGACCCTCATCATGACTGAATCTGGCCTGCAAGAACCCTACCATACAGACTGCAATAACCCTACCATACACACAGAGTCTTACCCGAACTACAAATTACTAAAAGCTTGCGGGCCAATACGCGGCCTCCAAAAAAAATCTGGCTGCCCATTTCTTATTTTACGCGAGCAGGGGGCTGGGACTACTACCGCCCCTCACAACTTTTTTCTTTTTTTTTTGACCCCCATTTTTGGAGGTGCGCCCCATGCAGTGCGCGCGCGTCGTGCGGGATGCGCTGTGCGGCGCACGTGCGCAGTGCAGCGCATCGCGATGCGCCGCATGTATGGTCTGATGCCTGGCTGGTAAGTTGATCAAGATCGGCGTGGTTGCGATGGTACCATGGACTGGCTGGAAAATCACTAGCTCCCTCTGACTATTCCCTTTACATGCCTATGCTACCCAAACTCCGTACTTGTGCCTCCAACACCTTACATTTAACGGCTTGTCTTCCTGCCTGTAAAACTGCCCTGTCGATTGATGCTTGCGGACGTGCTGGTTAGTTATTTGCGAGATGTTACGATCCTGGTCACTTCCAAAGTGCAATTTCATAATGAAAGACAATGCCACCCAATTGCAAAAGAAATGAAAGTACTTGCAAAGAGATATAGACCAAAGAAAAGAAAGAAGAAGAAGAAGAAGATGTGATGACCCGACCAAACATGGACTCAAACAAACAGCTGATTTCTGAGTTTTGCTCATGGACTGAATGTGTTGCTGAGTTTCCCGCTTGCTACTTGTTGGACTGCATATCTGTCTGAGTGCTGGTTGGCTTGAGAGTGTACGTGGCTTGTAAGGCCCTCAGGGCTGGTACTTACCAGACATTGAGTGCACTGAGTGCACTCGTTCATTTGTTGGGCCCTCGTTCGTTCGTTCGTTCGTTGGTTCGGCCTCGTTCGTACGTTCGTTGGGCCCTGAGTGCACTCGTTCGTTCGTTGGGCCCTCAGGGCCGGTGTCAGGTGGCCACAAGCAGTGCGCCGCCTGAGATCCGCAGTTTTGGGGCTTAGGCTCAGGGACAAATCCGTTTTTTGATGGTAGTCTCGTATGACCAGGCAGCAAAAATTAGGGGAACTCAGGGCACCCCTGATTTTGAGCGCACTGAGCTTTATGAGTAAGCTCAAAGATGGCGAGATGGGTGGCCGGACTCGGAATGTCTCGGGACTGTCATTTCCGACCGTTCAGGGGGGTTAGACCCGGATTGACCTGCCGCGGAGGGGTATCGCGGGAACTGACCTCGCAGCCACCTTTTTTGCGGCATACGACCAGGGCCGAAATGAGGCCTCAAATTTTTGTCTATTTTAGTACCGTAATTAAAGATGGGGAAGAGGGATTACGACGAGTAGGGGAGAAGGGAAAAACATAATATCCCTTACTTTCTTTATTTTTTACGGCATTTAATTCGAGGGGGAATACCCTTGTTATTTTATGTTCCCGACAATGAAATTAAAAACATAGAAAAAAATATTAAAAATTGTAGAAGAGAAAAGAAACAAAAGGAATTGGACCATTTATATGAACTTTTTCGGAGTTTTATTTTGGGGATCTTACGGATAGTTTACAATTTCCAACAGTAGAATTAAGGGAAGGGAAGAATGATGAAAAATGATGAAAGGGACGGGAAACCATGATTATTAGGGGGTTGGCCTAATTTCGCCTCGATTACCCGCCGTTAACTCTGACCCGGGATTGAACATTTTCCCCGGATTTTAACAGTGTTCAATACTGCCGATGGCTGAGGTTCCCTGCGTCACTTTCGCTGGTTTGCTTGATTAATAACACTGCCATTGTTGGGACGTTCTGAGAGCGGGAGACGGATGGGCAGGTGCTACCTAGGGTCGACCATGGTGTTCGGTTCGGTACGGTTATGAGGCTTGCTACGGAGTGGCTACGTCCTATGATGTCTGACGTGCTTCAGGTACGGTATGGGCTTGGTGACACCTGTTTCACTTCGGTGACTTATTTACAGGTTTGGGACAGCTGCGGTGATTTATTCTCAGGATTGGGGCCACTATGATAGTTATTCCAGGTGTGGGACCTTGGCAGCAGTGTGTTTTCGGGTCCGAAGATGTTGCGGCGTCCTGTATCAGGTCCGGGACCTCTCTGGCGATTTATTCTCAGGTCGGGAAGCACTGTGACGATCTATTTCAGGGTCGGGACCTCTGTGGTGAATTATCTTCAGGTCTGGAGCCACTATGACGATGTATTTCAGGTTTGGAATCCTAGTGGTAATTTGTTTTCAATCTCGGCGGTAATTTTTTTTCCAGCTCCGGCACCACTGCGGCAGACTATTATCCGGATATGGCACCCTCACGGTGGCATATGTCAGGTTCGGTGCCATTGAGACAATTTATTGAGGACACTGTGGCGACTTATTTCAGGTACGCCRCCGCCACGGAGGCTTATTTCAGGTTCTGCRGCTTCGGGRTGATTTATTTTCAAGTYTGGAGACTGCCGCGGTGGTCTGTCTCAGGCCCGGAACCTGGACGGCAGGTTATTCCAGGTTCGGTGCTATCACAGGTAATTAACTCAGGCTCGACACCATCACTGCGGCCATCTATACCCGGTTTGGTACCACGACACCCAGTGGTTGACCCGAGAACGGTGCTCACGTGCCACCCGTAATTAGTCTGTGTTGGGCCTGGTACCGACGGTCTCGGCAGTAAGCAAATGTGGAATGAATATAGGGGGGAACAGAGGAGAGATCGGGGAGAGCATACCAGGTGTACCCAGCCCACGGAACAACTCGACTCGGTACTGAGGAGGGCGACGAGCTGCGTCGAGGGGGACACGGACTGAGAATAGGGAGAGCATGCCAGGCGTACCCAGCGCACTTCAGACTTGAGCTGCAGTGAGTCGGGAGGAGTTCGTCGCGAGGTGGTTACAGGAGAGGCAGGCGGGTAAGGTGCACCTGGCCCACGACCAAGCCAAGGAGAGGACACCGGGAAAGTCCCGCGAAGCGCGCCCAGTGACCTAGTGCTTCAACCAAGTGAGCGTGTGAACAGACGGGAGAGGGGAAAGCCAAGTCAAAGTGAATAATGAGTATAACTTAGAATAGCGGGTAAGTATCTTCCTCGTGCGCATGGCGTGCATAGCTCCCTGCCGAACCAGCTAACTGACGGGCGTCACTCTGCTGTGGGATTGAGAATGCGTTAATCTGCCCCAAAAGGTGGGGCGTATACATTCAAATATTTGGGTTTGATATATGCCCGCTGCATCCTTACAATCATAAGCCGTGAATCTGTTCTCAAAATGGGAGTGAATACATTCAGATTTACGGGCATGATATGCCCGTTTCCCTACTAACAATCATAAGCTCTGAATTTGTTCTCGAAATAGGAGTGGATACATTCAGATTTACGGGCATGATATGTCTGTTTCCCTACTGAGTAATTACATGCGTTTACCTGCCCCCACAAGCGGGGTCAACACATCCTCATTACAAGGGCAAGATTTGCCCGTCTCATCAGTGCAAAAAGGGGAGTATTAATCTGCCCTTACATGCGGGGCGAGTACATTCTGATTATAGGGGCTAAGTCTGCCGCTCCAATTGTGCAAAAAGGAGAGTATTAATCTGCCCCTACATGCGGGGCGAATACATTCTGATTAAAAAGGGAGAGTTTTAATTTTCCTGAATGCAAGTGAAGCAAGTACATTCTGATTACGGGGGCAAGATCTGCCCGTCTCATCAGTGCAAAAAGGGAGAGTATTAATCTTATTGTATGCAAGTGAGGCAAGTACATTTTGATTACGGGGGCAAGATCTGCCCGTCTCATCAGTGCAAAAAGG